AGGCGCCGGCTGAGGGGAGCGGCCCCCTCCGCCGTCTGTCCCCGCAGCCTGGCAGTGCGTGGAGCGTGACCTGCGCAGCCAGATGGGCTCCGAGCGCGGCCTGGTCGAGGAGTACGTGGAGAAGATGCCGAACCCCAGCCTCAAAGGTGAGGAGGGCGGGGGGCACCCTCCCCCGGCTCCTGCCAGAGGGGATGACCAGCCCCAGGGAGCCTGTGCGGGCTGGGAGGGGGCTGCGAGGCGGCTTCTGCCACCAAAGTCTCTCCTGTCATCCCTGCAGCGTTTAAACCTGTTGACCTGGGCGATCTGAAGAGGAGGAACACACAGGATGCAAAGAAGTCCTAAGGCAGGTCCTCCCTGTGGATCGGCTGGTCTCCTAAGGTCCTCAAGCAGATTTAATTTGAGATTTTGTGTTGATTTCCTCCTCTGGTCTGTACTCCCAAAAGCCCGCGGGAGAGCCAGTCAGCTTTGGGGCTGGCTCTGAAGCTACCTGAAATCAAAGATGCTCAGGGGCTCACTGAGGATGCTCAGAGCCTGTTGCAAAGGATTCCAGCCCCCCACTCATAGCTTTCTCTGGCCTCAGGCTGTCCTTCCCCACTTCATGCTGGGCTCACAGATCTCCCGTTCTCCTTCCATCTCTGCCCCTGGCACATTGCGTACGTGGGCTCCCTGGGCTCTGGTGCGCGGCAGGGCAGAGCAGAGCGGCTGTGTTGTCGGTAGAGGCAGCGCTGGTTCTCCACTCCCTTCTGTGCACCACGGATCCACAGCTGCCGGGGCAGGCCAGGGGGAGAAGGAAGGAGGGTTGGTTCTGTCCTTGTGCCTCAGGACAGAGAGGCAGCCGCAGTTCAACACCCTTCGTGCAGCTGACTGCTGGGCAGGTGACACTGGCTGCTCCTTGCTCCCTTGTGGGAGGGCTTAATTTGTACCTGGGCTGCTAGTGCCTGGGACTCATCAGTGCTGCCAGAGCTCGTGGGTCCGTATCCGAGGCCAGATTTTCCTTGTGCTTAGATTGGGCTGGATCCCTGTGGTGCTGGAGACAGAGCTGCTCCCCTCTCCCTGCAGATGGAGAGAGAGGGGGTGTCAGCGCCGGCCCCAGCCCCAGGTGCCTGTGGGGTGCTCGAGGGGGTGCTGGGCCACGTTCAGCCCCCCCGGCCTGAGTGCTCTGGCAGCTTCACAGGAGGTAGCGGCAGTGGGGGGTGGCTGGTGCTGGCTGTGCGGAAAGAAGCTCGTTGGCACCCTTGCCTGAGCAGCGCTGTGCTGTTCTATGCTAACACCATTTTGAGACGTGCACCCCTAGAAGAGATCTGGCCCCCACAGCTGGCAGAAATGTCACTGGGTGGGGGCTGCCATAGTCGGTATAACTCGCCCCGGGGGGGGGCTTTCTTGGGACCCTCACTCCTGGCGAGGCTCAGGTGGTTTCTGCATCATCGCCTCTGAACGAGGGAGAGCGACTGTGCCATCCTCACCCCTCTGAGCAGAGCAGCCGTGCCAGCCGCGTCTCTGTGCCCCCGGAAGGCCGTGGGGAGCGGTGGGAGCAGCCCCCTGCCCGCCTGTGCTCCGAGCCGGCAGGGAGGGGGCTGTCAGGGGCTCTGCCCAGCGCCAGTGGGCTTCGGGAGGGGTGCGGGGGAAGTTGTGGCTGCCGTTTCCTTTGTTGAGTCGTTGAGCTATACTGTTCCCTTTTTTTTTTCTGTTGTCTGTCACTTGAGGAGTGTTGTAAATAAAAGCTGGTGTCCTTTTGGGTCTGCCTCTGTGTGACGCTGCCTGCCACAGCCCCTGCTCCGCACCTGCCTCAGCCGGGCGCAGGGCCGATCCCTCTGCTGTTCGCCGCAGCGGCTGTGCCTGGCGGTGGAGCAGCGTGTGGGACGGTGCTGGTGTGCCGTGCCCGGTGCGGCCCTGCGAAGGCCCGGGAGAGGGCTGCCTCAGCCGCGGCGGCCCGGCGGGCTGTTCCCTGCCCGATCCCCCCTTGGTTCCTCCGCTGCCTGTGCCCACTGCTCTGTCGGCGCTGGCCCCTGTGTGCCTGCAGCCTTGCTGGGACTGGGCCCTTGTTTTGGAAGTCTAAAAAAGGGAAGAACGTTCCTATTTTGTGGCTGAAGCCTGTGTTTTCCATTTTAGGCTTCAGCGCTGGCAATAAAGGCCAGGGCTTTCCTTGCCTTTTCAGACCTAAGGAGAAGTAACGCAGAGATCAAAAGCCACCTTTTATTTTTATTTATTTTTTTTCCAGAAGGGATCTTGCCCTTGCACTTGCTCTGGGCTCTTAATTTCACCGCGCAAGCATGTGCAGCCTGGCGCTGCATGCTGGTAGCACAATGCCCTTGGGCTCTGGCAGCCCTCCTGCAAGCCAGCATCCTAGGAGCTGTCGCTGGACCAAAGATTTAAATGTTGAGACTATTAATACACTCGTATCTTCTTCCCTCCCTTGCTTTAATGGCATTTAAACTATACTTAGCATTGCTAGAATTTCTCCTCAAGTGCATCTCTTTACACTTAGCCACGACCCTGTTTATCCCCCATCACCAAAACATTCCCGGGACGCTCACGTGGCGGGGCTCGCTGCCCGGTTCTGGCACAGCGGGACGGTGCCTCGGCCCCTGTTGCTGCCGCGGCCGCCCCTGTGCCCACTCCCTCGCCCCAGCGCTGCCTGGCCCCGCTTCACCGCAGCCTGCGGGGAGCAAGTGCCCATGGGGGAGCAGGGGCGAGAGGTGACAGTTATCACTGTCGTGGCCCCTCTCCTTTGACTTTTCCTGTGGGACGGGCCCCGGGGTAGGCTGCTGGCCAGCTGCTGTGGAGCCCAGCACTGTTCCCTGCGGCTGGGCACATGCTGCAAACCTCGTCCTGGGGGCTGCAACGGTGTCCCCGAGCCTGAGGGCACGTACGGGGGTCCTGCAGCTCAACCCCGCCGGCGTCTCCCTTGTTTTTCTCTTGGCTTGGGTGCTGTAAAGCCAGAGGCAAAGCAGTCACTTGAGCTCTAATGAAACGTCGTACAAAAATCATTCTATAAACAGACGATTTTTATAAAGACTAATAACAAACCACGGGGGTGAGGGCAGTGAGGCAGCGCAGAAGTGTGGAAGTCAGGTGGCGGGGGGAGCGCCCCTGCGAGGGAGCGAGGCCGCAGGCCAGAGAAATCAGGCTGTTTACCTATAAAAATCGAACTCGGCAAGGGTTTATTTTTCCCTGTGACTCGGATACGGTGCTCATCATTAGATTAAAGGGTGGGAGGAAGAGAGGTATGTGTTGTATTATTGAATTAAGCGGTGGGAAGAGGGGACGGCAGCGGGCAGAATCTACTTAGAAGACCAATTTGTGGTGCTCAGTTCCCTTGATAAAGTGGGAGTATTCCTGCGAGGCGCCGTGGCCCCGGGGTGCCTGGCTGCAGCTGCAGGGGTGCCGGTGCCTGGGCAGGCTGGGTCGGGCAGCGAGTGGCGATTTAAGGCTCCGGCCCTGCTCCACGCCCTGGGTTTCACCCCACAGCCAGGGACTCGCGCTGCAGCCGAGTCCAGCCCGTCTGCCTGGGGCGTGCGGGCTGGTGGCAGCGCCTTCATTCTGCCGGTCACTGGGAACAAGCGGCTCCCGCCAGGCAGCCAAGGTGTGCACCCATGTCTGTGAGTGTGTGCGCACACGCGTGTGTGTTGTGCAGGTCGTGCTGCCTGGGACGTACCCCGGGGTGCGGAGCGCAGGCTGTGCTGCACGCAGCCTGGCGCTGGTGCGGTGTGGGGAGCTGCCGGGGTGCGTGCGGGGGGGTGACACTCGCTGTGGGCAGTGCCAGGCCACAGCAGGGAGGAGTCCCCCAGCCCCAGCCTTCGCTGTGGCCCCAGCAGGGTCCCCGGGGCGAGGGGCAGGGGCAGCTTCCTCTAAGCCCCTCGTGTCTTGCCTGCCCAGTGTAGGGTGGGTGCTGTGTCCTGCAGGCACCCACTGTGAGTGGAGGCTCTGCCCTCAGCCCTGAGTGCAGGCAGAGCCCCGGCAGCCGGCGGGCACGGCAGCACAGGAGCAGCGGACTGTCCCCTTCCAGAGACTCTGTGGTGATGGGAAAGGATGCTGATGGCAGTCCTGTGGGAGCTAGCTCCTTGGGCCAGGGCTGGCCCTGCTCCCAGGGGCTGCGGGACGCCCTGCTCCCTTTCCTTGGGGTCCCAGGAGCTGTGGTGCCGCCCAAGGAGGGGCTGTGCCCAGCGGTCCTGGGGGTCCATGTGTGCCGGGGAGCCACTGGCCGCAGGTGGGAGCCACTGGCCGGGGCACATGGCTCTGTGGGAGCTGGGGAATGACCAGGGCACAGGGGCTGCAGGCTCAGCCCTGCGGCACAGGCAGTGCCCCAGCTTTGGGGTGGCAGCCAGGCTGATGGCAGGTGCTATGGGGCTGCGGTGAGCAGCTCCGAGGGAGGGGACGTGCTCCGGTGAGCCCCGGCACGGGCAGACATCAGGCGCTTGCATGAGGCTCCCAGCCACCAGCAGACGCCGTCCCTGCTCGGGGCTGTGCCTGGTGCTGGCAGCTCTGACCCCCAGGACACCCCGTGGGCTGGGGCTGGCTTGGGGTCCCTGTTGCGGTGTGGCAGATGCGGGGCCCTGGCGCTGCACGTCACCCTGCCTGGGCAGGGTCCAGGGGTCCCTGTGCCCTCGGCGCTGTGGGGCCAGCCTGGCCCCGGTGGGGCATCACAGTGCCACTGGGGATGACAGTGGGGTGTTGCCATGGCAACGCTGGAGCAACAGGCGCAGGACCCGGCGCCGCTCAATGACCATATTTACCTTCACAGAAACCGCTTCGTGCTCCAGCAATTTGCCTCAATTAGGCTCGTTACCGCGTCAGGAGGCCGCAGTGACGGCAGCGGCCGTGGGGGCCAGCGGCTCCGCAGGGGCTGTTGTGGCCAGCTCCGGCACCGCGGCTCTGGGCAGGGTCCATCCCTGTCCCCCTCCCCATCCCCTTCCCTGCACCCGGGGGCCCAGGCAGACCTGAACCCCTGCCCTTGCCTGCTCAGCCCCACTCCTCCGTGGGTAACGCATCCCCACAGCACTGCCACGCTGCCCCACGGCGTTTTTGCCATGGGCTCGCAGCCCCCGGCACCACGGCCCAGACGCCTCCGCCCCATGTCCCCGCTGCCTGCGCCGCACCAGCCCCTGGACACCGGGTCCTGCTTGGCCGGGGCAGACAGCAAGTTGTCAAGTAAACAGAGGAAAATTACTGCGTGCTCGGCCCGACGCTGCTGCCGAGAGCCAAGAGCCGCACAGCCCAGGCCAGCTCTGCGGGCATGCCCTCCCCACGCCACGGCTGGCCCCACTGACGCCCGTGCCCTCGCAGCGGTCTGGGACCCCGCCACCCCCCAGGCAGCCGGCGCGGCTCCTGCCGTCCCTCGTGCTGGCTGGCAGGGCCGTGGCCGTGGCGGTGCAGGCGATGCTGGGACAGGGTGGGATTTGGTGAGGGGGGCCGACCACATGCCCAGCACTGCTGTTTACTGCGTGGGGCTGCTGGGGCACAGCTCCAAGCACTTGCTCCGCTTGTCGTGTTCCCTGTGCCGGGCTGCGCATGGAGTCTGGACAGCCGGAGACCGTCATCTGCACAGGGCTGGTGACAGGCAGTGCCCCACACCCAGGGCCCGTGGGGCGGCAGGGGGTTGTGGCAGGACTGGCTGGCTGTCCCGCTGCCACCCGTTGGGCAGGGTGGCCCCCGGCCGGGGAGGTGGGCCTGGCTAATCCCTGCACACCAGGCGATTGTGGTGCCCAAAGCCATGGCATCCGGGCTTAGCGCTCATGTGCACAGCACAAGCCTCTTAGGGTGCCGGCCCACCACGCTCCCTCCCTGCCACGGACAGCCAGCCCCGGCACAGGGGGACCCACAGCCCTGCACCCCATGGCGCTGCTCACGGTGCTCGGTGCTGCCGGTGGCTGCTGCCCGGCCCGTGGCCTGGGCCCGCTCCCAGGAGAGAGGGGGTGCTGGCGGGCAGAGCCAAATGATTTAATTAAGGGCTCCTGGCAGTGAGAGGACAGAGCCGATTAGCGGCCAGAGGAGAGCACGTGCTGGTGGGGAGCTGGAGCCCTGTTCGACAGCGCTGCAGTGGCCGCTGCCTCACTCACCTGTGGGCAGACCTGTGGTTCCCACACCCCGGACGCCCGTTACGGACAGAGAGGCTCACACAGAACTGGCCCTGCAGCCCGGCACGGGCCCACACCTATTTACAGTTACGACAGATAAATTACAGCACTGCGCAAAGGGTCTCGAAGGCGCACAAGGGCAGCACCACAGGCGACAGATCCCCCCGCCCCACAGATCCCCTCCCAACAGAGGTCCAGGTCCCACTCGCCGTGCCTCACCCGCAGCTGGCCCAGCCGTGTCCATCGTCCTGTGCACGTCCAGCACAGTGCAGCGTCGTCGCTGCAACGGGCAGGGTCCCACACAGCCTGCGCAGAGCCCGCAGGAGGACGGGGCTGGGGAAGGAGGCAGCGGCTGCCCCAGCTGGCTCAGCCTGCGGCAGCGGGGCCAGCACAGCCCCCCAACTCCAGCTGCAGGCTCAGAAGTGGCTCTCAGCCGTGGACTCAGGGAACTCGTAGCAGTGGTGCCGGTCCCCCAGGGCGAGGTGCTCGGCGGTGCTGCGGCCGGTCCTCTCGAGGTAGTGGGTGCCGGGGCGCACGGCGGGCAGGGGGCGGCCCCCCCCCCCCGGGGGCCCG